TCAAGAAAAATTAAAGACTATCATCAACCAAAGCTTAAAATTCTCAGTGTTTACAACTCTCATACTTCGAATATGCATATTTCCAAAATAGCATGAAATTTTTTTTCATTTGAGCTCATTTTCTTTTGTTCTATTAACTAATACATGCAGTACAAGCTTGTTATACGTATACTTAATAAGTAAGGTCTTAAGGGAAATAATAAAAAAGAATTTTGCTATTAATTATATTAAACAATATTTATTTGTAATTTCGTGATAATTATATTTCTTATTACAAAGTAAAGGTATTTGATATAATGTTTGCCTTACAAAAATGTTTCCTTTGTCTTGCCACCATAGGTATTCTATTTTGTCACTTTTTGCGCCCGCCGTGCCATGTATAATATGAAGTATATTGATAAGGTAAAAATCAAATTTTATTGCATATTCATCGAGAAAATAAACTAACGAATCCCTCAAAATTGAGAGGGTAATCCTCCTCCTCTCAAATAAACGTACATACGGGTGCACCCTTAAAGGCCGCCTCAACAAAGTGACTTCACTTGAAATTCAAATATCGTATTTAAGAGTTCTAATATAAAACACTACTACTACTAATAATAATCACATTAATAAAAATGAGATATAATGAAATTTGTTGAAATCTTTTTATCTTGAGTTTTATAATAAGCATCATAAGAGTAACAGTATAAGATACTTACAAAAATATTTATATTGGCAACAATAAATATATCATATGTGAAAATTTGTTGAAATCTTTTTATCTTGAGTTTTATAATAAGCATCATAAGAGTAACAGTATAAGATACTTACAAAAATATTTATATTGGCAACAATAAATATATCATATGTGAAAATTTGTTGAAATCTTTTTATCTTGAGTTTTATAATAAGCATCATAAGAGTAACATATAAATACTTACAAAAATATTTATATTGGCAACAATAAATATATCATATGTGAAAATCAATTATCTATTATTTCTTTATCCCCATTAAGATGCATTAATAATAGTCATACTGAATATACATGAATAGTATATTACAAACATCATAGAATTATCGCATTAAATCATAATTTTTTGCAATCAGAATCTCTTGGATTTGTAAAATTTAAAATAATATAACAAATATATTGTGTATACATTATGTAATGTTATAGTAAAGTTAAAAGTTGTAAAAAATAAAATTGTTTAAATTATTAAATTATTCTTGAAAACCATGAATTTGAGGTAATGGAAACGGTTCCCTCTTTTCTTGAGGCATTCCAGCAATTACATACTTTGGAATTTCTCAAGAATTTTGTGATTCATTTGAAATTATTTCTTCATCTTGTCCATTTCCGTAAGCTCCTTTTCCTTTTACAATCAATTTTCTTGCCTTTCGTCTTTCTGAGCGCGCAGATCGATATTCTTCTGTCTTTTCTCGTTCCGAGTGCAACTTTTTTTCTTTGTGCTCTTCAATAAGAGAATCCCGAAGGATAGGATGAATTGGCTTAATTCCTGATAAATTACGTAGTTCAAGTAATCCTTGATATCCTTCATTGTGGTAAATTGTAGCAATATCCGTTCTGCCTTCATATGAACTGAGATAATTTGTATGTTTTGGATTAAAACGGCATGATCGAGCATTATATGACTCATTTATATGAGTTGCATAATCCGGATTAACAATTTGAAAAACTGATCCGGAATCTTTTAAAAATTCGAGTAGATGATTTCTTGCATTTTCGTTTTCAAGTCCAGCTGTCCATATAAAATGTTCTTTTTCTTCATCTTTTGTGGAATGTAAACAATATTCTGGTGAATGATTTCCAATTAGATGATCTACGGCGTGGAGCCAATAAAATAGCTTCTGTTCTTTGGAAATATGCTTATCCAATAAAGTATTAAAGAATATTTTGAGTCTGTTTTTGATACCATGAAAAATTTTTGAGTCGACGATAGGCATGTCACTTTTTGCATACTCATTAGAAGTAAGACGTTTCCAGCACAATTCGAATTTCTTTTTGCAATGGAAGCCATCTTGATATTCAACAGCATCAGGAAAATGCTTATGAACAATATTACGGGATTTATTATCCCTATCATGGCAAAAACCGTCAACAATACCTTTTCCCACCGTATCTTCCAAAATTTGAAGAGCCTGATCAGCGGCAACAGATTCCATTTGGCATGAGGCACCAGTATAATTTCCAGCTTTACCTTTACGAGATCTAACGATTACGAATTTTGCCACAGTGTCACCTTTAGGACCCATTGCTACAAACTCACACTCGTCTGCATTTCTAACATGCGAGAAATGAGCATCGATGGTGATAACAGTTCCAGGCTCAAGTTGCAATGCATGATTTTTTACACTTTTTTCAGCTAATTCCTTCGCTTTCTCGAGAATCACCTTTTGAATCCTGTAAAAGTATTGTGACGATGGTACATCTATACCAGCCTCTCTTAATAAGTTACTTGCTTCTTGATATGTTTTACCGCAAATCAAAGTGGCAAATGTAAATGATTTGCCATCTAATTTAATTAGATCACCGAATCCTTCATATTGGACGCGAATAATCTCAGAATTTGTGGCGTCATGTACCTCCTGTGATGTCATTTGTCAGTTTTTTGTTTCTTCACTTCTGAATACGACACCTTGAATTATGGGTTTATTTCTAATAATTTACAATTTACTAACAGTATTCTTTTTGGGGATACTGACATTCAACGTAAAAACGAGAATGTTTCGAAATAATAAAAATTTAATATAATATTAAATCATTTTTAAATATTTCTGTCTCAACCCTGAATGTTTATTCCCCTAAAAAGAGATTGCCATAAGTCTATGGAAATTGACCATAAATATAGATCCAAGGTGATGTGATTTTTGCATCCCTGGGATGGACGATACACCCAAAGTGTCACCTTTTTGGGATAACATGAATTTTAAATATCATGAGAGTTCTGCAAACCATATGCACAATATCTATTCAGCCTGACTTCTTGTATATATGAGTTAGACTTCTTAAATATTGTGCTTGGGGCGATATAAGCATTTCCGAGATTACCATCGTGCTCTATAGTATGCTACTTCTCCCTGGTTCTAGCTCAGTTCCAAGGATATTGGCGTTCAAGGATTTGGCAAGGTCCTTCCGAAGTCTCTCATTCGATGAGAGATTTCGGAAGAATCTTGCCTTAAAGTACTCCAACTCTTGTTCTTTTGTTCCTAAATAGTGAGAAAAGTTATTTGACTACTTAAGGTAGAGATTATCCGAGGTCCCTCATTTGATGAGAGGCCTCGGATAATCTCTGCCTTAAAATTGTACACTTGTAGTCCATGAGAGTGTAAGTATACATTGATAGGACAGCTTTCTTCTGAAGTCTTAGATTTGATGAGAACCTCAGAAGAAAACTGTCCTATTTTATAGTAAAAGGAGTTTCAGGAGCTCCAAAGCTCCCTTTCGTAAGGATTAGGAGCTTTGGAGCTCCTGGTTCGTAGATGTGTTTCGCATCTTTCATCAGCAAAGGACATTTACCATCTGGGACTCTGTTGATGGAGACTCAGGAGCTCCAAAGCTCCCTTTAGTAAGGATTAGAAGCTTTGAAGCTCCTGGTTCGTAGACGTGTTTCGCATCTTTCATCAGAAGAGGCCCAAATGGTAAATAGCCTCTGCTGATGAGCTTCAGGAGCTCCAAGGCTCCCTCTCGTAACGATTAGGAGCTTTGTAGCTCCTGAAGATAAGGTAGGATTGCTCTGATCTCTAATCAGTAGATGCCATGCCTCATTATGAACTCTACTGACAAGAGATCAAGAGCTCCAAGGACTCCCTTTTTAGTTAGTGGCGTTCTCACCATTTAGTAGGATTGCTGATCCTACTAATGAAGTGATCACTTAGTATACGTTTTGAATAAATTGAATTTTTTTTAGAATTTAGTATTTTTTATAGACATCACATGTATATTATAAATACATAAATATATTCTTTAATTCAAAAAATTCAATTCGGTTTTGGGATGGGTATCCCAGCCCCAAGTATTCAATTTTATTCAATTTTTTAAGAATTTTGGGTTGGGATGCCCAGACCAAAACAAGCTTTATATTTTGATGTGTAGATACGTATGTGTGCATCATTGTTGTGTTATATATTATGTTTTTAATGAAAAAAAATCTGATTCAAAAAAAATTATCACTAATTAGTTGATAATATAAAGAAAAAATAGATAAATTGTATGTTTTGAGAGTATTTATCCACATTTACTCATATGAATTTCATTAAATAGTGTCTTTTTACTCCCAAATTTATTTTGAATTATTGAAATCAAAGAAAAAAAATCAGAAAAATTTCTCGAAATTTTTATTTTCAAAAAAATTTGGATTTTATATTGAAAACTGACACTGGGAGGACGATAGGGCTGGGATTGGAGATACCCCGCTCACTTGGGAAAAATACGGATCTATACCATAAATAACTTAGAGCTATGGAATAAATTGATTTTAATGTATTTTTTTTTCTAGAAAATATCTTTTTTAGAGTGAAAATATAAATTGTTGGAATTTTCCTTACCATATTATTGTAATACAATATAGACAGATGCTTTATTCTACAACAAAAAAGCCAGAATCGATTTTTTGTCGAAATCTTAAATATAATGAAACAATAAAATCTTAATTATATCCATTATGATTTGAATATTTAGAAGTATAACAAATGATAAAAATATTCATATGAAAATCAATGATGTATTCTATGTTTTTTAACTAGAAATGATATCAGTGAAGTCATGTGTCAGATTTTTGTTGACTCGACCTTTAAAAGTCCTGAAATAGATTTTTTCAATACATAAACAATTTTAAGAAAATTGTGTGTGTTATGCCTATATGCTGGAAAAGGCCGAATAAAATTGATCATCTGACCAAAGAATTTGTCTCAAAAATTGAGACAAAAGCGGTTTAGTATCTGTAAAAATTGTCTATCGTTAACTGTTAATCATTTCTCAACAGATTTACTCAGCAATGTTCTCATCAACAGCTATGCGAATGCAGGAATACGACGATACAAACCCAGAACTCTTCAAATTCCTCGTCAGTGCTAGAGGAATTACATATATTGCTTTGGCTGGATTATTTGTTTTCTTATCCGCCACACTTGTTTTGAACTTCCTTGGCGAAACTGCTATTATGTATTATGCAGTTGCCATTCTTGCGGCTTTCTTCTTTATTCGTCACATTGTTGGCGAAAACAAGGTCAGACTTCCATCTCAGGCCAATACTTACCATGTTAAATGTCAGTAATTAGTTGTTTAGTAAAATTTTATACTAATTTAATATGTCATATTTTTATAATTTGGATTGAAACTTAATCATTTTGAATGATTTCCGAAATCAAAAGAAAAGCAATAATTGAAGATATTATTAGCTATCATAAGAGTAATTTACCAGAATACTCTACTCAAGATTGAGTTTTGAATAGAAATCGGGACAAATTATTAAATTGAAAATTTTACATTAAAATATATATACTAATGGGTAAAATATACCTAGTTTTGTTTTATATGAGCCTAGATCCGCATTAGTCGAATACATAACAGATAAAATGATTATGAATCCTACGCCTTGAAAAGTGACGTTTATTTTTATTTTGGCTCTCTATTTTTAAATGGATTTGAGTAATTTCAAAGTAAAATCCATTTGCGAATGTGATGTTCTAGATCAATTAGCTATACCACACCAAGTATCTGTTTCTATCTGGAATCTTGACGAAGATGACGAAATAATTAATCAAACTTTCTTAAAAATAAGGGAACATATTTTATCCCAAGCCATAAATATCGATTTTGTAGTTAGGTGCATCGAAAAAGCAGCTTTATATCGTAGGAAAAATATAATTTCTTTCAGCAAATTATTTAATTTATTAAAAAATGAATTCGAATTCGATATTCAATTAGATAACTATGAAATATTCATCCTTTCCACAACAAAATCTCCTAAGACTATTCAAAACATACTTGACATTGTTCCAAGAAATTCCCCTTTTTATTTTGTCAAGTATTTATCTGATAATTTGATATCAAATTTGAATAAGTTGATCTCAAAGTTTGATACCTCTCTAATAGAGTTAGCAGCACAATATGGAAATGAAGAAATATTCAGATTCCTAAAGTTGAATGATTGTTCGTATGATGATAAAATTTGCGAGTTTGCAATTATTGGAGCAAATTTTGAAATAATTGAAGCTTTGAGAAACGAAGATAGGAACTTTGGTGACTACATTTCAACAGCAATTTCATGTAATAGAAACAATGTTGCAGATTGGATTATAGAGAACTATGATTTTGAAGAAATACCAATTGCTTTATGCTTAAACTATATGAATTTTCAAGCAATGACATATTGTATCATGAATGGCTTTGATATAAATATAGAAAAATTTCATTCAGAAGAGTTCATTAATTTTACATCAAACAGTCTTTTATTTGATTTATGAAGTTCTTTAGCTATCTATGATTATCCTTTAACTCTAGCTGTAAAATTCGGAAACTTAGATATAATAAAATGCCTAATTAATAATGGTGCTGAAGTAAATGTGAAGATAATAATTAATTATTAATTTATGAAATTCATTATCAATTGATTGCTATGGAGTTATTTATTAATATATAGAATTCAATATATGATCAAACAATCCATTACTGCCTAATGGCATCGATAATTTCATCATGGTGTTCAATTTTCATGAATGCAGTTCTTTTGAATATTAAGAAATTCTTAGATAAAGTTATAGGAATCCTCTATCAATAGCAATTGATATGGAAAAATTGGAAATTGTTCAATATTTACTAGAATAAGGTGGTGATATAAGCATTTATCTTCATGGTAGAAACATTTCTGAATGTATAAGAAATGTTAATTCCCTTGAAATCAAGAATTTGGTATTGAACAAATTCTCTGATGAATTCATTGAAAAAGTAACAACTGCAAAAAAGTTATTCGAATAACTTTATATAATGCATGCGTTTTGCATAATATAGTAAATAAAATGTATTTACAAAGGAGCATCTTAATCTCTTTCCTCAATGAGCATGAATTCTTCTTATGAAACACCCACGAACATTCCTTTATATTTTTCGAGATAAAATGAATCAAAAGTCCTGCTACTGGGCAACAAAACTGTTGTCAACAAACCAGGAGAACAATGAATTTTTGAAAATTCTCACAACAAAAAACTTTCCTTTCCAAAGTTTTTCTTATTTTGAAAGACCTTATTTGCCATTTATGAAAAAGAATAAGTATCCATAAGAGTATTAATTCATATGGTTTTCAACAAAAAAATCTGGAAAATACTTAAAAACTAATTATAATTTCAAAAGTTATAGTCATACATCGAAAGAGTAAACTATTCAAGTAAGTATACAGATGTCATTAATTGTTTCATCAAGAACCAAATTATTCATAATTATTAAGTAGTAGGATAGGAGGGTTGTGTGACTTTTTTTGTAAACGTAAGAATTCATACAATATCGAGCGATTTTGTATCATTTTTTTTTTAACATATGAAGTAAAAAATGTATGATTCTTTAGGTTTTTATTCTCACATTTTTGAATAATTTATTTTTTAATTCGTAAGAAAGCGCGACATTATTAAATAAATTAGTAATAAATATTTATTTATAAATCATTAAAAAATGTAAGACATGAATTTTAAAATAATTTATTTTTTATCTTTTATAAAAGAAGCTATATATAGATGATGTCAGATATTCCGCGATTAATTAAACATTGTTTAAATCCTGAATGGAATCAATAAAGTCATAATCAAAGACCTCATAAACGAGAAGAAGAAATTGAAAATAATTATTTTCATGAATAAAAAATAAACTTTAAAATTCATGTCTCAGAATTTTGAATAATTTATTTTTATTTTGTATGAAATGAGTGTCAAAACTGACGACGTTAAAACATCAGGATTCACAAATGAGGAAATAAAGGATATATTAGAGGAGGCGGGTTATGAAGTTAGTAAAGATTATTTAAGAAATTGTCAAAAATTTGCGGAGTTTTTAAATGAGTTTGATTATGATGGAAAAATGAATAAAGATGATGTTATAAATTTCTTATATCCCACATCTAAAGAAGAAAAACCTAAAGAACCTGAATATTATGAAGAACGGATTAAAGATGATGATGAATACGATGAAATTGAAATTGAAAGACTGGGAAAAATAAGAGATGAAATAGATGAAAAAATTAAGGAATTAAGAGAAGTTGAAAATGAAGTAGAGGGTTTAATGAATATCCCAGCTTCAGAATCAGAAGTTCAGAAATCTCATGAAGAAAGATATAAAAATTATGTCTCAGAATCAACACAAAATTTATTAGATGGCGAAATAGACGAAACACTTTCAGAAGAAGGTACTAAATTTATTCGTAAACATAAGTTACAATTTATTGATAATGAAGAATACCCTTGTATCTTACTTTCACCCCCTCTCGATTCTGAGAAATTCAAAAAAGCTCTTAAAAACGTGACATATGCAACTAATACGATTAAGAAAGAAGATCATGATATTTACACAAATTATTATTTAAATAAATGCACAGGTGTTGATAAAGTTTTTGATTTATTAGATAAAATATCAAAAGAAACCATTGGAACATATAAAATTTTGTGTGATTGTGGTTTCATTATTGAAGATACCAATAATGTTTCATATGAAAGAACAGCACCGAAGGAAGACGAAGTGGAAAGGTCTATACCATTCGTTATTAAGAACATAAAAGATATGAAAACGTATAAACATTATATTTATTCATTTATTTCAGAAAAAATGGAAGCAACCCATAAAACATCTTCTCATCATTTTATAGCTATTCATACATTCCTTTTCAAAGTTGTGAAATTAAATAAGACAGGAATTAGATTTAATGTATCAGGGTACGCATTCTTGAGTAAATTAAAATGTATTCGTCACGTCGCAGATGATAAAAATTTATGTGTTCTTAATTCATTTTATGGGCTTTAAAAAATATAAACTTTATTTTATTTTTTAATTTTTTATTCTTACATAAATGAACAAAAACGGAACCGCTAAAATGAATGATAATCAAATTAGAGCAGAAGGTAGAAGGTTATTTAAACGCTTCTATAACATTCCTGATGGTGTTAATCCTAAAACTCGTAGAAGCTATTTAAATGAAGCAATAGATTCATATGAAGGGTTTGACATTTCATCAGAAAGTGAGAGATTAGCGAGAATGTTAAATGTTAATATTGATTTCTATTATTGTGATCCTCAACCAGAACGTGGACATAAATAAGGTAGACTTTCCATTAGTGGATTCAATAATGATAGATCCAGAATTTGAAACAGTAAATATTTTATTAACACAGAGTCCATGTGGAAAACTTCACGCTGACAGAATAACAGACGTTGAAGCACTCACCGGCTATAGAGTTTGTCCATATTGTAAAGAAGAAGTTTATTCTATCCGTGATGATCCAGAAAGGAAAACCAAAGAAGATTTTTTAAAGCATTGTGAGAAATGTAAAGAAAATAATGGAAGATTAATTCAAGACGTTCAATTGCAAAAGACACAGCAACCATATGCACCACATATTACGAAACAGAAGATATATCAGTGGTTATTAGCTCACAATTTGCAGAAATATTATAAACCGACAAGATATTATATTACTTTTGACTTCGAAACATTAGAGACTAAAGAAGAATTACAACTTTCTGAGTGTGCAACTTTGAACGCTTACTTAAAACCATTCATGGTATCATCAACGGTTAAATTAAATGATAAAACATATACGAGGAATTTTTGCTTAACTTCGAGTGATTCTTTTATTTCTGATTGGATTGAGTTTTTATTTTCAACCTGTTCATTAGTTGCTAAATCAAATATTGAACAATATGAAGAATTAATGAAGTCGCAAACATTAAATGAAAAACAGAAGGAAGCATTTAAAGAACTTCTAGATGAGGAATTCAATAAAGTGAATATCATAGGTTTTAATTCGGGAAAGTTTGATTTAAATTTAATTCTTCGTGATTTAAACACTGCAAAATGGAAAATAAAATCAATGCTGGGTTCATCTTCACAATTTAAGCAAATCATTGTAAAGAAAACAAACATTCCATATAAATTGAGATTTATTGACATCAGAAATTATATAGCGGGTGGAACATTAGACCAATTCACTCAAGATTTCGGAAACAATAAATCACGTGTTAAATCCTTTTTCCCTTATCAATTCATCACATGGGAAAATTACGAAGAAGAATTATATAAAGAGGAACCATTCACGAAAGATTCATTTTATTCAGCATTAACTCAAGAAACTATATCAGATAGTGATTATCAAATATATCTCTATGATGCTAAAAACTTTAAGAATAGATTAGAATATTTTATTCATTATTGCAATAAAGATGTTGAAATTATGATTGACCCAATTGATAAATTATTGAAGAAACATTTGTTTATAAAATTGACACGCTTCATAATCTTTCTTTATTAATCGAATGCTTCAATGATTCGTTACGCTTTAGCATATAAAGACTTTAATCCTAATGAAAAATATCCTGAGGAAGAGATAGAATCAAGTTTGAATTAACGAAAAAGTATTGGAAATATAAAATTGAATCATATAAGAAACAAGATGAAAAAGCAGAAAGGGATACTAAAAATAATGTTTCAATGGATGATTTTCAATACTATCACGATTTAATCCTTTCATCTAAATGCAAAATGTGTGGTAAAGCGTTTACATATGCAAATAAACCAACATTGGATAGAATCGATAATGAAAAACCACATACCAAAGAAAATTGTCAGTTAATGTGTTGTTATTGCAATGTCGTAAAATCAAATAAAGATGAAGATGTTCAACGTTTAAGAATCAATTTAAGAAATTATGCATTAAAAAATAATTTACCAATGACTTTAGATTCAGTTGAAGCTTATCATATTCTCCGTAATGGAATTACTGGTGGTTTATCAAATGTTCAACATAGAGTAAATCTTAAAGGAATCACGCACATTAATAAACTTTCATATAGTCCAGAAACTAAAACTGTATCAAATGAGGACACTTCCAACATTATGACTCATTTCGTTGGAGTTGACTTTAATTCATTATATCCTTCATCATTTTCATCTAATCCTCATGATTTCATTCAATATACTGACCATAAAATGTATATGCCGGGAAGATTGAATGTGTGTTATCATTTGTGATACAGCAACAAGAAAGCAAAAGCACTGGGAATAATTAAGAAGAAAAATACTTTATTCGTGGCTGAAGTAAAGGGTCACATTGATGAAAATACATTAATGATTACATAAACTTTTTACCGATAATAAGAAACTTAGATATTATCACAGATGAAAAAACAATTGGCAGTTTTATGTATAATTACATGAAATCAAACAATCTACCAGTTGACCAGAAACAGAGAAAATTAACTCAGTTAGCAT